CCGCAGACCTGAGTCTCTCCTTGTCTTACTCCCCACCCCCAGGGTACCTCTAACACGGTTTGCCTTTAGCCAATACTAAGGGCCAGACTCTGATCAGGGCTTGGAGCCCTGAGAAACTGGTTTGGGCTCACAGCTCCCCAACACACAGGAGTTTGTGGTTGTGCCCTCCCAGCAGTGTGGGTTCCCATCTCCCCCAGCATCATTCCTAGGGGGCGGGTATTCTTAACAGTGACACTCCCTGACCTTTAGGAGGCCTTGAAGCCCTCTGCCGTTTATAAGGCATTTTTCATAAATGATCACATTTGCTCTACAATCCATTAACTGACAATTATTAGGTATTCCCACTCCGCAGATGCAAAACCTTCAGTTCAGAAAGCAAGGAAGGATGAGTAGTGCCTCTGATTCCTGATCCAATGCCTCTCCTATCCCCCGCTCAGAAAGTGGTGTGTAGATCAGGGTTTTAAGCCCACAGAAGAAAGTTTGTTTTTATTTGGGAGCGTAGTGTGATAGGATGGTGAGGGAGGATCACAGGCCTGGCTTAGGCAAGTATGCACACAAATTAGGACAGAGGCTATGGAGGTTTTGAGGATTTCCCAAAGCAGAAGTTTGGTGGCCCCGTGGGCCCAGCAAGACCCAGATTTCTACATGGGGGCACTAAGATTTGGTAGCAAATTGATTCACATGGGGAGAGGAGGGGTGGCAGGGGGGCAGACCCTTCCCTCTGTGTGACCGGAACTGCTCACACTACTCCCTGACCAAAAGCTAGAGAGCAGACCCCCAACCCAAATTCCAGGGTACCCTCCCTCCTCCTCCTGTGGTCCCCACAGCTTACTTCTAGGTAAGGACAGTCCTCCCCCTGGCAAGGTGGCTGTCTGTGGTGCTCCCTCCCTCTCTCCCCAGCCCTGGGAGGCTGGATTTGTTTACCTCTCCGCAGTTTGGTGGCAGCCAGGCCCAGGGGAGGCTCCCTAGGACGCCCAGCCTCCCCCAGTGACACCCCGGGACCCTGCCAGGAAAATACAGACTGTTCCATCTGTATGCAGAGGGGAGGGGGACCTTCCCACAGAGCTAGGGCGATGAGGCCCATGAGGCTAGTGCTGGAGGAGACACACAGATTCCAGTGTCCTCTTTCCTCTTATTGTGAGGGATGAAAACATCACAGACCCCCCTCCCCCAAGGCTTCCCTGCCCACCAGTGGAGCCCTGAGGAGGGCTCCTGATGGGGATTTCTGAAGGCGCTCTGGCACTGGAAGGGAGGGAGTGGGCCTGCCAGAGTTCTCTGCTGAGTAGAGGTTGGGGCCAGATTGCCTCTTCTGGCTTCTCAGCACTCATGGACTCAGCCTGAGGGCCCATGCCCTACGGGGGCACCTGAGGGGCACAGCACTAGGACCTCTCATTGGCCATCTGGAGGCAGAGCAGTGAGACAAGCCAGAGAAAGGACCCTAGCCATTCAAAGCTACTCTGGGGCATTTTTCTAGCTGCAGAAAGGCCATTGCAAGCACGGAACACAGCTTCTCCTGTGGTCTCTCTAGATCTCTAAGGGACCTGCTCTGGGGCACTATGCTCTACAGCAAGGATCAGGAATGGATACGGTACTATTCAGGATTCCACCAGAGCTGGGGCCCAGGACAGCAGGTGGATTCTGCCATCTCAGATGACCTTAATGTGACATCGGCCCCAGCCCAGAACTTGGACCCAGGGGAGGAGGCTGCCAGGCTGAGTTATGGGGAGGGTCATTTTCCCAGTGATGACAGACCTTATGGTTCTACTCCCCTTCTGCTGCCTCACACCCCCTCCTGCTTTGACCTGTGTCAGGGCTCCTCATTACTCTAAGCTGCTGGGCTCAGCCCTGGGTTAGGCTGTCCTTTTCCAGAGACTGTTAATCCATCCCCGTGGCTTTCCTCCTCCCTCTTCCTGATCTTCCCCAGCTGCTTCCTCCATGGGGAGGAGACACCGAGGCAACCAGTGGGCCTTGTCAGCCTGAGGAAGGGCTTTTGGTCCCCGGAGGCTCCCCACCTAGCAGCTGTGAGGCCAGGAGGGCAGAGGAGCAGGCCTAAGCCCCTTCTTTAGGGCCGTGGGGAAACAGTGCCCAGGCTGGGAGCCTGGAGATCTCTGTCTAGGGCTGTTTGAAGGGACAAGAATTCAAAACAATTTTGAGGGAAGGGTGGAGATGAGGAGAAGAGGTAACAACAACAATGTTACAGCACTGTTGAGCTGGGACAGGGGACATGGCTTGGCCAAGTTCAAGCCAGGGAACAGTAACACTGGACTCAAACTCAGGACCCAGGATTTCTTATCCAACCCTGTCCCCTTCCCACAGCTCTAAGCTAGTGATAGCAGATGGAGGTCTAGGCAGCAGGTTTGGAATCTCATTACACCACCTGGCTGGGGCTCAGGTTTTACACAGGTTCTTCCCAGACTGGCGGGGGCGGGGGGTGGGGGATGGCCCCTTTGTGCACAAGTACAATCTGGAGAAGGAATGCTACTTCGTGGCCCCAGCCTGAGCTCTGAAATGATACTTTTGCAATACCTGTTCTAACCAAGGCACTGCCTCCATCAAGTGCCCAAGTGCCCCAGCCTGTTCCCTCAACCTTGTCTGGCCTCTCCCTATCTATCACCCTGGACCCTGCACCCTAGAAGCTGGATTTCCTGGATGCGAGGAAGGATAAGGCTGCCTGAACCTGAGTCAACTCTAGAGAGGCAGCCTGTGAGGGCAGGAAGGGCCAGGCTTCACCCAGCAGCCTCTTAAGCCTTTAAAAGTTCTTACATAAGCTGCCAGCCCCTGTGCCGAGCTGCAGGGCTAATTCCCCCAGACCACCGCCCCCCCAAACCGAGCTTCCAGGTCACCTCTCCAAGCTGCTGAGCACCAACAGATGGGGCAGAGAAAGAAGTCCAAATCCTCTGGACCGGAAGGACAGTGGGATTGCCTTTCAAGCTGTGATACAATCCAGAGATTAACCACTGTCTCCTTTTCAGCCGGTCTCCCCGGGGCCCAGCTCAACACCCCCACTCTTCCTCCAGTGACTCTAACAGACCCCAGCAGGCTAAGGGCAGGAGGGGGTCCTGAATCTTAGAAGAAACCCTGAGGTGAGCTGCACTGGCAGCCTCGTCAGACCTCAGCGAATGGTGAGGAGGGGACAAGTGTCCTCACCCGGCTCTGAGGATGCATCCATCTGGACACCTACACCTGCCAGTAAGACTCTGGAGATAGCTCTGGGAGGAAACAACTAAAGGAGTAAACAGTTTTGGACAGGGACTCCAACAAGCACTGTTTGAACCCCAGGAGTTGGAGCCACTTGGACCAGGTATCGTCGGGTGGTGTAGTGGAGGTCCGATACAGAGCTAAGATTTTACGGAGCGCTTTCCTGACCTGCTCCCATATGCAGCGCGGCACCGAACCCTTTTGCCCTGCGTCCGCCCGCATCCCCCAACCAAAGCCAGGTGCGTGGCGTCGGAACCCGGTTTCAGGAAGTTAGGGGTTGAGGAGGTTAGAGGGCAAGGGTGCTGGGGCCTGCCCTGCCCTTCCCCTCCCCGGCAGCGTCGCCCGGTTCCCGGAGCCGCCGCGCCCGCCCCGGACGCGCCCCGCGCGCTCTGCCCTGGGCGTCACCTCTCGGGCTCGTAGCCGGCCTGCAGCAGACGGGCGCTGTACCGCTGCGCCGCCGTCTCATGTCCGGGGTGTTGCCGGGCTCCGGACTCCGGAACAGCAGCGGCTCCCCCTCCCTGCAGCGGCAGCGGGAGTAGCCCCGACCCCGCTAGAGGAGCCAGCGGCCCCTCCATGCGGAGGCCGCTGCTCCGGGCGGGCGGGAGCCTCTCCGCCTGGAGGCTCCCCGGGCCCCCGCTGGGGAGTGAGCGCCGCCCAGGCGGGTGCCGGGGAGGGGACTGGGCCTCAGGGGGTGGGGCCTGAGAGTCGGGGGCGGTGCTTGAGTGCCGGGGGTGGGGCATCTAGGGAGAGGGAGGTGCGGCCCTGGCAAGGTGTTCGGACTCAGTCTGTCTCTCCCGTCCTGGGATCAGTGAGGGGATACCGGGAGATGACCGTGGAACTGCAAAGGAACCCGCCCCCACTATCACTTTTCCCGCCGTCTGGACCGTCAAGGTTCTCCCGGCTCCTTCTAAGAAAAACCAGAAGAGGAAAGGAGCCGAGCGTCTCCAAAGACCAATGGAATGATCCTTTGGGGCGCCTCCTACCGGCCATCCGCAGACCTACCTCAGCTAGGACAAGATAAATGGGGGAAATTTTCCAGCTCCGTTTGCCTACTGCCCCCTTGACCTATTCAACAGACTCCCTAACACTGGAGGAAAATAGGTTTTCCTCAACTCTTAGCTGCCACTGCCGGAGGAAGGAACAGATTAGGCTTCAATCTCCTTAAGGAAAAGGGCCTTGTCTGCCCTTGTTTGGGGTATCCCATAACCAGGGAGTGGGGCTGACCACACAGGTGTTCAAACTTGTTCATTTCCTGACTAGAAAACATAACTTTTCCTCTTTCACCATTGTTATTATTCTTGTCGACAATGATCAAGCATCTAGCCAAGATGGCAAAGAGCCCTTGCCCTCAGGCAATTTCTTTGAGGAGACAGAGTAGATAGAAAACAAACACTTGACAATTCTTATACCATACACTTAAAAAAAAATCTGACAATCTGAGGGAGCAAATGGTAAATACTGAATGACTGGGGGTGTTTAAAATGTATTTCAAGAAGGCAGAGTTATGGATCAGACTTTTCAGCAACTATTTCACAAAGGAAATTGAATTTACGCTGTGGTAGGATATTTCATTTTATCCTGCCTGGTATCTTTTCCTATACATGTACACAGATCGACTCCCCAGATTTAGGATTAAAACACAGTTTCTCTGATGCTTGGCCACACACGAAATCCTGTTACCATAAATGCCATTACAGACAATATTTTTGCTATTGACTGTGTCCCCTCAAAAGTCCTATCTTGAAACTTAATCCCCATTGTGATGGTATTTGGAGGTGGTACCTTTGGGAGGTGATTAGATCACAGGATTAATGCCTTTGTAAAAGAAACCCCCAGGGGTGCCTGGGTGGCTCAGTCCCTTAAGCGCCCAACTTCAGCCAGGTCATGATCTCATGGTTCATGGGTTTGAGCCCCACGTAGGACTCTGTGCTGGCAGCTCAGAGCCTGGAGCCTGCTTCAGATTCTGTGTCTCCCTCGCTCTCTGCCCCTCCCCCCTCTCTCTCATAAAATGAATAAAGATTAAAAAAAAATTTTTAATAACATAAAATAAAAGAGACCCCAGAAAGCTCCCCCACCCCTTCTGCCCTGAGAGGACACAGCATCTATGAACCAAGAAACAAGCTCTCACCAGACATCAAATCTACCATTGCCTTGATCTTGGACTTCCCAGCTTCCAGACTGTGAGAAATAAGCATTTGTTGTTTAATAATATGCAGGAACAATGGTTAGTGTAAACTAAGCTGTGGCTAAGTTCTGAACTCTTGACTCACAGCTCAATGCAATATATTATAATTTCTATTGCATATTCATTCAACAAATGTTTACTGGGCACTTCCCCTGTACCAAATCACATGGTCACTGTCTCCGCTCTTGTGAGCCTTAGAGGCCACTGGGACAGACAGACAAACGGGCAAGGAGACTAACGGTGTGAGAGGGGCTCTGACAGGGAGGAGACCCTTCTACACAGCAAGACTTCTGGCAGCACACAGAACATAGCCAGTTGTTCTGAGAAGGAAATGAGTCAGGCTTCACTTGAAAGGCCACTGGAAGTAGGCAGTATGATAAATAAATGACACGCATATACAGAAGAAGTAGCCCGGAGCAGTGATCGAGATCTGGCCTCTCACTACAGGGTAGTTCTGTCTTTTCTCCAGAGCTGCTGGCTACAATGAGATTTTCTAGCAAACTATTCATTAAAACAATCACTTTTGATAGGATAACCCGAGGGCATCAGCATTTCATATGAAGGGATTTTACCTGCAGTAATGTCTAGACCAGTGGTTCTCACCAAGATGTTTGGCAATGTGTAGGGACATTTTGGATTGTTACGAGTAAGGGAGAAAAGGGTGTATTGCTGGCATCTAGAGGGTAGAGGCCAGAGATGCCGTGAAACATCCTGCAGTGCACAGGACAGAGTTATCAAGTCCCAAGGTCAATAGTGCCGTTATTGAGAGAAACACTGGTCTAGAGGAACTGTTTGAGGAAGCCGGAACTAAAGCAAAACTACTTACTCTTCCTAAGCCAGCAGGACAATGGGTGTTTCAGTCATTTGTCTATGAAAGATCTATGTATCCTCATTGGGCCTGTTTCCTCATCTGAGAAATGAGAGTGTTGTTGGATTAGATCTTGTAGAAAGCCCTTTCCAGCTTGCAAAAAGTATATGAGCCAAATACTTAAAGGATTAAGAGGCAACTAACATGGGGCCGTAAGATTAAGGGGTGATGGTCAGTCCAGGTGCTAGTCTGTCTGTCCGTACTCCCTCATCTTCCAGACTTCCTGAAGTTAGGTGCACCATCTATTCGTCAAAAATGTATGGAGTACTCCTATGGGCAAGGTGCTGTGCTTAGGTGTTAGAGGGGTACACAGAGGCATTAGATACATCTCTTGCCCTTGAGTTACCCACACTGTAGGAAGGTGGAAAAGGCGAGGATAACTGCAATATGAGAGGGAAACTAATGGCGAGACCAACACTAAGTATATACGCATCAGACACCAGGCTGGGCAATTTGCTTATCCTTTTCTCAGCAAACCTGCTTCTCATGATTTATGTCTATTTCTCAGGCGAGGAAACTGAGGCTCAGGAAGGTTAAGCAGTTTGTCCACCGTCAGAAAGTAGTGATTGGTGGAGCCCCACAGCTTGTTTACTCCAACACCTGAGCCCTCAACTGTCGTCCTAGTAACTCTCATCTGCTCTACCCTGTACAGAACTGGACACCTTTGGCAGAGAATCCAATACAAGGTACGGCCTCTTGCAATGAACTTCAAAGGATGGTTCAGATTCTTCTGTGATTCAGATTTTGATCTGAACAAGTTTTTCTTGAAAGAAGTGGAGTTTAGCTCGGAAATATTTTCGTTATGGGACAGCTGGGTGGTTCAGCCAGTGAAGTGTCCAACTCTTGATTTCAGCTCAGGTCATGATCTCACGGGTTCAGGTTCGTGTGATCAGGGCTTGCATGAGGCTCCGGCACTGATAGCTGATAGCACGGAGCCTGCTTGGGATTTTCTCTCTGCCCTTCCCACCCCACCCCCGCCAAGTCCCCACTTGCCCACCTTTCTCAAAGTAAATAAACTTAAAAAAAAAAAAAAAAAAAGAGGGGCGCCTGGGTGGCTCAATTAAACCTCTCACTTCGCCTCAGGTCATAATCTCGAACGGTGAGTTTCAGCCCCGCCTAGGGCTCTGTGCTGACAGCTCAGAGCCTGGAGCCTGCTTCAGATTCTGGGTCTCCCTCTCTCTCTGCCCCTGCCCCACTTGCGCTCTGTCTGTCTGTCTCTCTCTCTCTCAAAAATAAACATTTAAAATTTTTCTGTAAGGAAATATTTTCTTTATGGGTCGCATTTATTGTAAAATTTCATAGCAGACATCACAAAGTTCCTTGTTAACAATTGTTCCCCCGATTGTGGGAAGAAAGTGGACTGACTTTTTAGGGACAAACATGAACATCTCTACCCCACAAAAGTGTACCTAGGCCTAAAGGAAGTTGTAATGATCATTTCCACCTGCCCTTCTTACAATTGAAAAAGCGAGTTTGATTTGTTCAACAGATAATTATGGAACACATGACGGGTATAACAGTGTGCGAGGCACGTTAGGATATATAAAGGAATCTAGCTGGGAAAATGAAATATCAAAAGCTAAATAACAATATAAGGTAATGGCTCTCAGCTGGGGGTGATTTTGCCTCCCAGGGTGCATTTGGCCATGACTGGAGGCATATTTGGTGGTCACATCTGGAGGGGCGCTGCTGGCCTACACTGGGTGGGGGCCAAGGATGCTGCTGAACATCTTAAAATGCACAGGATAATCCCTCACAACAAACGATTATCCAATTCAAAATGTCAATAGATCTGAGGTGGGGAATCCCTGATATAAAGCACGCACGTGCTCATTGGTGGTACAAACTAAGCGTGTAGAAATTGTAAGAGGAGACCGAATGCTATCAGCTGGAGTAATCAGAAAAGATTTCACTGAAGGAAAAGGACGAATCTGGGTTTTGGAAGAAGTTACTTTTTTTCCTTTTTTTTAATGTGTATTTAAAAAAAAAAAATTTTTTTTTAACATTTATTTATTTTTGAGACAGAGAGAGACAGAGCATGAACAGGGGAGGGTCAGAGAGAGGGAGACACAGAATCTGAAACAGGCTCCCGGCTCTGAGCTGTCAGCACAGAGCCCGACGCGGGGCTCGAACTCACAGCCCTCACGGACCGCGAGATCATGACCTGAGCTGAAGTTGGCCGCTTAACCGACTGAGCCACCCAGGCGCCCCTTAATGTGTGTTTTTGAGAGAGAGAGAGAGAGAGAGAACGAGCTGGTGAGGGGCAGAGAGAGAGAGAGAGAGACAGCAGATCTGAAGTGGGCTCCATGCTGACAGCAGTGAGCGAGATCTTGACCTGAGCCGAAGTCGGACGCTCGACTGACTAAGCCACCCAGGCCCCGCCCGAAGAAGTTATGATTTAGGAAAAGAGGGGAACTGGGGGGGGGGGGCATTCCAAGGGGGGAATATAGCATGGGCAGAACTGCTGAGGTGGAGTGAGGTAGGGGGTTTCTGGGACAGTGAGCAGGCTATCCTGGAGGGAGCACTATCTCCGCTCCACAGACTGAGGGTGGCATCAGGCAGGTGTTGACCTGTGAGGAAGCCGAAGCACAGAAAGCTTAAG